AGCATTATTTCCAGTGACCATCACACTAATGTATCAAGAGTTGTAGATATAATAGTTTTTAGCAGGGGTTCCCTGAGATTGGAAGGTTATTTCAAGGATTCCTCTGTGCTGAAAAGGTTGAGAAAGGCTGATTTAGATAAAGCATGTTTTTGGCCCAAACAAGTCCTAATAAAGGGCATCTCAGCTAAAGCTGTCCATAGACGGATTTGATCTTGACCAGTTCAGCATGGACTGATTAAGATTCGATCCACATATGGGCCAGCTGATTGTACCCAAGTCGGTCAATTGATCGACTTGGGTAAAAACAGCATGTCAAATTTTTAGCAAGCAAAATTTTACCAGCAAATATAGCTGCTAGCAGTAATCATTGTGCTCTCTCAACAGGGATGGCTCCCTGTGCCCCCCGCATATGACCGGGAGAACACAATAGCTCCACCAGAGGGATTCCCCCATGAACACTGACTATGTTGATGGGGGAATTGAGTGATTTTATTTCTTTCAGGGAAGAAAATTGCATAATCTATGGCCTGCCTTTTTAATTTAGTAATGCGGCTTCCAGGAGGGGTAGAACCTCTGATCCATGAATGCTGTGGACAAAAAAAGAGAAATGGAGTTGCACTCTCCAGGATAAACTTTTATAGCCATCTCAAGTCCTGTGGGCTGGTTTAGAACAGAGCCTAATCACAGTTGTATGCTGCCATGTAGGCACATTTTAGTAGATAAGGAGACAATAAGATACGATAAGACAAGACAAGATCAAGTCAATAGATTATTACTAATTTCCTTAACACATTTTAGCAGACTTATAAAAGGTTACAATTTCTTAATTGCTGCATATTCCATCATGTCCTAGTGACAGCTGAACTCTCTTGTTTTCTTTTATGGGCATTACAGGGACAGGAAGTGATTCTCTGCAACAGGGTCAGAGATATAAATTGAAAGCCAACAGAATGTTTTACTCCTACCAACTAGGGGCGGACTGAGAACTCAAGGGGCCCCTGGGCAATAGGGGATCATGGGGCCCCTGTGTCCTCGCCAACACCCAAAAAAGCCTATCAAAAAGCCAATGAAACGTACCAGGGGCATCTCATGGGCCCCCCTACTGACCCCGGGCCCTTGGGCAGTGCCCAAGTATTCGAATGGTCAGTCCGCCCCTGCTACCAACAACAACAAAAAATAGAAAATTTTGTCTGGAATTAGACTTTAGAGTATCAGTAAAATAGACCCCCCCGCTCCCAAAACCCTACCAGGTTATTCAGTTATCTATTGTTGCTTGCTAACTTTTCTAATCTCATGCATTGTTATCGAAATTCAAATGTATATAAATGACTTGCTGACAGAATAAGATATTTTTGATGTACAAATAATGTTATGAGCTAATAAAAGGGTGCTGTGCTTGTTAAAAAATAACATTACAGTGTCTTTGCTGCTGAGCTACTGTTGCTTAGCTTGCTGTGCATAATACTGTCTCAAAGGACCGAAAATTACTGTATACCCATCCATGGCATGTTTATAAATTTGGAACATACTTTGTTTGCATTTTAAATGTTTTTCTGCATTAAATATAAGCTGCAAAGGCCAAGGGAACAGTAAAGAAAACCTTTTCTCAAATGTTAACCTAAAGCTTTAAATATTAAAGTCGAACTGAACTCTCAAAACATGAAGATTTAGTACTTTATAAGAAACATCTAGAGGTGTTAATCTAGAGCAGTGATGGCGAACCCGGGGCACGCGTGCCACAGCCGGCACACCGAGCCTTATCTGTGGGCACGCCAGGAGAATCCAGCGGCGCCCTGTCTTCCCGGCTGTAGTGTGCGTGACAGCCGGGTCCCAAGTGCGCATGCACAAGAAGCAGTGCTCTTTGTGAATGGTAAGGCGGTACCTGGGACACATGACAGATCCCAGAAGCCGCCGGACCAATCACAAAGCGCAGCGCTTCTCGCGCATGCGCACTGGGCATCCGGCTGTCTGACGAGCGCCCACACTACAGAAGCCGGGAAGACAGCGCGCGGCTGGATAAAGGAACAGGTAAGATAAAAAAAAAACTCTGCCGGAAGTAAGAGCGGGTACCTGTCAAATTCAGGTACCCGCTCCCCTCCCTCCCCAAAGGTCAGCAGTCATCTCTGTACTGTCCGCAGTCTCTGGTCATCCCTGTGCTGTCCGCAGTCTCTGGTCATTCCTGTGCTGTCCGCAGTCTCTGGTCATCCCTGTGCTGTCCGCAGTCTCTGGTCATCCCCTGTACTGTCCGCAGTCTCTGGTCATCTCCTGTACTGTCCGCAGTCTCTGGTCATCCCTGTGCTGTCCGCAGTCTCTGGTCATCCCTGTACTGTGTCCGCAGTCTCTGGTCATCCCTGTGCTGTCCGCAGTCTCTGGTCATCTCCTGTACTGTGTCCGCAGTCTCTGGTCATCCCTGTACTGTGTCCGCAGTCTCTGGTCATCTCCTGTACTGTGTCCGCAGTCTCTGGTCATCCCTGAATACTGTGTCCGCAGTCTCTGGTCATCCCTGTACTGTGTCCGCAGTCTCTCTGGTCATCCCTGTACTGTCCGCAGTCTCTGGTCATCCCTGTACTGGTGTCCGCAGTCTCTGGTCATCCCTGTACTGTCCTCAGTCTCTGGTCATCCCTGTACTTGTCCGCAGTCACTGGTCATCCCTGTACTATGTCCGCAGTCTCTGGTCATCCCTGTACTGTCCGCAGTTCCTTTGGTCATCTCCTGTACTTTCTGCAGTCTCTGGTCATCCCCCTGTACTGTGTCCGCAGTCTCTGGTCATCTCTGTACTGTGTCCGCAGTCTCTGGTCATCCCTGTACTGTCCCGCAGTCTCTGGTTCATCCTGTGCGTCCCTGTACTGGTGTCCGCAGTCTCTGGTCATCCCTGTACTGTCCGCAGTCTCTGGTCATCTCCTGTACTGTTCGCCAAGAGTCTCTGGTCATCCCTGTACTGTGTGTCGCAGTCTCTGGTCATCTCCTGTACTGTTTCCACAGTCTCTGGTCATCTCCTGTACTGTCCGCAGTCTCTGGTTTCATCTCCTGTAACTGTTCCGCAGTCTCTTATGGTCATCCCTGTACTGTGTCCGCAGTCTCTGGTCATCCCTGTACTGTGTTCCGCAGTCTCTGGTCATCTCCGGTACTGTGTCCGCAGTCTTCTGGTCATCCCTGTACTGTGTCCCGCAGTCTCTGGTCATCTCCTGTACTGTGTCCGCAGTCTCTGGTCATCCCTAGTACTGTGTCCGCAGTCTCCTTCCCCAGGTCATCCCTGTACTGTCCGCAGTCTCTGGTCATCCCTGTACTGTGTCTGCAGTCTCTGGTCATTCCCTGTACTGTGTCCGCAGTCTCTGGTCAATCCCTGTACTGTGTCCGCAGTCTCTGGTCATCCCTGTACTGTCCGCAGTCTCTGGTCATCCCTGTACTGTGTCCTCTGCAGTCTCTGGTCATCCCCCTGTACTGTGTCCGCAGTCTCTGGTCATCCCCGTGTACTGTCCGCAGTCTCTCTGTCACCCCTGAACTGTCCGCAGTCTCTGGTCATCTCCTGTACTGGTGTCCGCAGTCTCTGGTTCATCTCCTGTACTGGTGTCCGCAGTCTCTCGGTCATCCCTGTACTGTCCGCAGTCTGGTCATCCCTGTACTGTCCGCAGTCTCTGGTCATCTCCTGTACTGTCCGCAGTCTGGTCATCCCTGTACTGTGTCCGCAGTCTCTGGCTATATCCCTGTACTGTTAATTAGTTTTGCACTACTGTACGAGTTTTTTTTTCTAAACCAAAAGCTCGATATTCAGGTTTCATTGCAGTGTTGGCACCTTGAAAAGAAATAAGTTGGTTTTGGGTTGCAGTTTGGGCACTCACGGGCTCAAAAAGGTGTTCGCCATCACTGATCTAGAGCATCTAGAGCATCCTCAAAAATCTATCTGTTGTATTTTGTTAATTCTTCCCAAAATAGTGAGGAGAGCACTTCCTTTTATGTGACAGTGCCTAGAGTCTTCTGAGCCTAAAGCACCATATCTGCATATCTGTGTGAAAGTTATAGCTCTGCAGTATTCTGACTGTAAGCCGGCCATAGAATGGGTCGCAGAAAAGATAATCGCGCAATTCCCACATTAAATACTATCAGTGTTGATGGGGGAATCTTTCCCATGAAGTCATTGTGCTAGCAAGAATCGCATGTAAAATCCAGATCTGGTCCGCAGTCTCTGGTCATCCCTGTGCTGTCCGCAGTCTCTGGTCATCCCCTGTAATGTCCGCAGTCTCTGGTCATCTCCTGTACTGTCCGCAGTCTCTGGTCATCCCTGTGCTGTGTCCGCAGTCTCTGGTCATCCCTGTAACTGTGTCCGCAGTCCTCTGGTCATCCATGTGCTGTCTCCCGCAGTCTCTGACGTCATCTCCTGTACTGTGTCCGCAGTCTCTGGTCATCCCTTGTACTGTGTCCCGCAGTCTCTGGTCATCTCCTGTACTGTGTCCCCGCAGTTCAGTCTCTCTGGTCATCCCTGTACTGTGTCCCGCAGTCTCTGATCATCCCTGTACTGTGTCCGCAGTCTCTGGTCATCCCCTACTGGTCCGCAGTCTCTGGTCATCCCTGTACTGTGTCCGCAGTCTCTGGTCATCCCTGTACCTGTCCGCAGTCTCTGGTCATCCCTGTACTGTCCGCAGTCTCTGGTCATCTCCTGTAACTATGTCCGCAGTCTCTGGTCATCACTGTACTGTCCGCAGTCTCTGGTCATCTCCTGTACTTTCTGCAGTCTCTGGTCATCCCTGTACTGTCCGCAGTCACTGGTCATCTCCCTGTAATGTGTCCGCAGTCTCTGGTCATCTCCTGTACTGTGTCCACAGTCTCTGGTCATCCCTGTACTGTCCGCAGTCTCTGGTCATCCCTGTACTTGTGTCCGCAGTCTCTGGTCATCCCTGTACTGTCCGCAGTCTCTGGTCATCTCCTGTACTGTTCGCAGTCTCTGGTCATCCCTGTACTGTGTCCGCCTCAGTCTCTGGTCATCTCCTGTACTGTGGTCCCCGCAGTCTCTGGTCATCTCCTGTACTGTGTCCGCAGTCTCTGGTCATCTCCTGTACTGTCCGCAGTCTCTGGTCATCCCTGTACTGTGTCCGCAGTCTCTGGTCATCCCTGTACTGTGTCCGCAGTCTCTGGTCATCTCCTGTACTGTGTCCACGCAGTCTCTGGTCATCCCTGTACTGTGTCCGCAGTCTCTGGTCATCTCCTGTACTGTGTCCGCAGTCTCTGGTCATCGTATCCCTGTACTGTGTCCGCAGTCCTCTGGTCTGTGTCCGCATCTCTTGTCACTGTACTGTCCGCAGTCTCTGGTCATCCCTGTACTGTGTCTGCAGTCTCTGGTCATCCCTGTACTGTGTCCGCAGTCTCTGGTCATCCCTGTACTGTGTCCGCAGTCTCTGGTCATCCCTGTACTGTGTCCGCAGTCTCTGGTCATCCCCTGTACTGTGTCCGCAGTCTCTGGTCATCCCCTGTACTGTGTCCGCGTCTCTGGTCATCCCCTGTACTGTCCGCAGTCTCTGGTCATCCCTGTACTGTCCGCAGTCTCTGGTCAGAATATCCTGTACTGTGTCGCAGTCCTCTGGTCATCCCTGTACTGTCCGCAGTCTCTGGTCATCTCCTGTACTGTTATTAAGCAGTCTCTGGGTCATCCCTGTACTGGTGTCCGCAGTCTCTGGTCATCTCCTGTACTGTGTCCGCAGTCTCTGGTCATCTCCTGTACTGTCCGCAGTCTCTGGTCATCTCCTGTATAACTGTACTGTCCGCAGTCTCTGGTCATCCCTGTACTGTGTCCGCAGTCTCTGGTCATCCCTGTACTGTCCGCAGTCTTGGTCATCCCTGTACTGTGTCCGCAGTCTCTGGTCATTCCCTGTACTGTCCGCAGTCTCTGGTCATCTCCTGTACTGTTCGCAGTCTCTGGTCATCCCTGTACTGTGTCCGCAGTCTCTCTGGTCATCTCCTGTACTGTGTCCGCAGTCTCTGGTCATCTCCTGTACTGTCCGCAGTCTCTGGTCATCCCTGTATGTGTGTCCGCAGTCTCTGGTCATCCCTGTACTGTTAATTTAGTTTGCACTACTGTACGAGTTGTTTTTTCTAAACCAAAAGCTCGATATTCAGGTTTCATTGCAGTGTTGGCACTTTGAAAGAAATAAGTTGGTTTTGGGTTGCAGTTTGGGCACTCGGGCTCAAAAAGGTTCGCCATCACTGATCTAGAGCATCTAGAGCATCCTCAAAAATCTATCTGTTGTATTTTGTTAATTCTTCCCAAAAATAGGAGAGCACTTCCTTTTATGTGACAGTGCCTAGAGTCTTCTGAGCCTAAAGCACCATATCTGCATATCTGTGTGAAGTTATAGCTCTGCAGTTTCTGACTGTAAGCCGGCCATAGATGGGTCGCAGGAAAGATAATCGCTCAATTCCCACATTAATACTATCAGTGTTGATGGGGGAATCTTTCCCATGAAGTCATTGTGCTAGCAAGAATCGCATGTAAAATCCAGATCTTATTGCTGCTAGAAAAATAATCCCATGTAAAATCCAACAGGCTGGTTGATAGATCGATCAACTTGGGTACAATCAATACCCAAGTTGATCGATCTATCAATGATCAATCAATAATCAATGATCTTGTTCAATGCTGGATGCTCTGACTGACATAAGAAATTAAGAAACTGCCTCTACCAAGATTATTATTATTATTATACAGTATTTATAAAGCGCCAATAGTTCGCTCGGCGCTGTACATTACAAAGGGGACAGAACATGTGACAGAACAATACCCATACAATGTGATACACAAGGGGTTCGAGGGCCCTGCTCTTTCGAGCTCACAATCTAGGAGGGAGGGGGTGGTGGCACAGGAGGAGATAGCTGTGGGGGATGGAGTGGTAGGAAGAGGGAGGAGGAGGTCGGCAAGTTAGCAGGGGGTGGGGTAGGCTTCCCTGAAGAGATGGGTTTTCAGGGTGTGTTTAAAGGAGAGGAGAGTAGGTGATAATCTGATGGGTTGGGGCAGGGAGTTCCAGAGGATGGGTGACACCCTGGAGAAGTCCTGGAGGCGGGCATGGGAGGAGGAGACCAGGGAACTAGAGAGAAGGAGGTCTTGTGAGGAGCGGAGTGTGCATGCTGGGGGCGGTACTTGGATATTAGGTCAGTGATGTAGTTCGGGGCAGTATGGTGGACAGCTTTGTACGTCAGCGTTAGGATTTTGAATTTGATCCGTTGCGCAATCGGAAGCCAGTGGAGGGATTGGCAGAGGGGGGTGGCGGAGACAGAGCGGTTGGAAAGGTGAATGAGTCTGGCAGCCGTATTCAGGATCGACTGAAGCGGGGATAGCCAGCGGCGAGGCAGGCCAGTGAGGAGGGAGTTGCAGTAGTCGAGTCATGATATGATGAGAGAGTGGGATGAGCTGTTTAGCTGTTTAGTGGTTTCTGGGGTTAAGGAATGTGCGGATTTTTGGCGATGTTGCGGAGGTGGAGTTTGCACGAGTTTGTTAAAGATTGGACTTGGGGCTGGAAGGATAGGTTGGAGTCCAGAATGACACCGAGTACTCTGGCCTGCAGGGCGGGTTTGATGGTAGCGTTGTTGGATGTGATGGAGAAATCAATGGGGGGTGGTGTCCGGGTTGGGGGGAAGACAAGAAACTCGGTTTTGGAGAGGTTCAATTTAAGGAAGTGGAGCGACATCCAGTCTGATATGTCGCTCAGTAAGTGTGTGATTCGGGCTGAGACCAAGGGGGTGAGGTGGGGGGTTGAGAGATAGATTTGTGTGTCGTCGGCATAGAGGTGGTAGTTGAAGCCGTGAGAGTTGGCCAAGGGAGGAGGTATAGATGGAGAAGAGAAGGGGCCCAAGGACAGAGCCTTGAGGGGACCCCAACAGAGAGAGGGAGTAAGGGGGAGGTGGTAGCATTATAGGTAATGCTGAAGGAGCGTTGTGACAGGTAGGATGAGAGCCAGGAGAGAGCAAAATCTCTGAGGCCGAGGGAGTGTAGTTTTTTTGAGGAGGAGGGGGTGGTCGACTGTGTCGAAGGCCGCAGAGAGGTCAAGGAGTAGGAGCACTGAATAGTGGCCATTAGCTTTGGCGGTTAGCAGGTCGTTGGAGAGTTTGAGTAAGGCAGTTTCGGTGGAGTGTAGGGGACGGAAGCCGGACTGTAGGGGATCGAGGAGGTTGTTGTCGTTGAGGTGAGAGCATAGGCGGGTGTAGACTAGGCGCTCGAGGAGTTTAGATGTAAATGGGAGCAGGGAGATGGGTCTGAGGTTGTTCGGGTCATTGGGGTCCAGGGAGGGCTTTTTAAATATGGGGGTGATGTGTGCATGTTTCAGAGGGGAGGGGAAAGTGCATGAGGAGAGGGAGAGATTGAAGATGTGGGTGAGGGAGCGTAGGATGGAGGAGGAGGAAGGTCGTAGGAGTGTGTGAGGGGATAGGGTCGAGGGGGCAGGTGGTGAGGTGGGCATCAGAGAGGATCTTGGAGACTTCCTCGATGGTAGTAAGGTCAAAGGTGCGGAGTGTGGGGGGAGCTTCAGTATGAGGAATGTAGGGTGGGGTGGAAGAGGAGGTCAGAGCAGTGGTGGGGCCGTGGGAGAGGGGTGATGAGGGGGTAGCTGAGTGAGGGTGAAGGGGGTTGGAGAGAGTTTGAGCAGCAACGACGAAGTCCCTGCGGGTTATGTCGAGGAGGAGGGGGATAAGGGGGTAGCTGTGTGAGAGGGGACGGGTTGAGAGGGTGTGTGAGTTGCGGCAATGTCCTTGCGAATTGTGTCAATCTTGTTTTTGAAGTGATTGGCAATCTCAAGGGCAGTGAGTGAGGTGCTGGGTGGAGGTGGGGGTGGAGAGAGTAGAGAGTTGAAGGCAGAGAAGAGTCGGCGAGGATTGGAGGAGAGGGCCTTGATGAGGGTCAAGAAGTAGGCTTGTTTGGCAGCATGGAGGGAGGAGGTGTAGGTGTGGAAGGCAGATTTGTAGCGGGTGAAGGCTTGTTGGGATTTGGTTTTGCGCCATAGTCGCTCCAGGGCACGACTTTGTCGTTTGAGGGTTTTGGTGTGATCAGTCTGCCAAGGCTGGAGCGGTCGGGGTCTGATGTTGCGTGTGGTTAAAGGCGCTAGTGAGTCAAGGGCTGTTGAGAGCGCATTGTTGTAGGCGGTCAAAGCCAAGTCAGGGCAGGACAGGGGGAGGATGCGGTCGTGGAGTTGATCAGCTGCAGAGTGGAGGGAGGCAGGGTTAAGGTTGCGGAGGTTACGACTGGTAGTAGTGTGACATTTGGAGGGGTAGGCGTTGGAGGATGAGGAGATAGAGAAGGTAATCAGGTTGTGGTCAGAGAGAAGGAAGGGGTGTTAGTGAGGTTGTGGGGAGCGCAGCGGTTGGAAAAGACAAGGTCCAGGATATTTCCGTCGGACTGGGTGGTGGATTGTATGCACTGTGCAAGTGCAAAGGAGGAGGTTAGGTGGAGGAGACGGGCTGTGTCTGGGGTTTGTCGAGGTTAACAGGGATGTTGAAATCCCCAAGGATGATGGTGGGTAGCTCAGAGGAGAGGAAGAAGGGTAGCCAGGAGGAGAAGTCATCCAGGAAGCGGGGTATGGATCCAGGAGGCCGGTATATCACAGCAATCTTCAGAGGGGTTGGGGAGAATAGTCGGACGCAGTGGGCCTCGAAGGAGGAGAAGGATAGGGAGGGAGGGTTTGGGAGGACTCGGAAGGTGCTCTGCGGTGACAGGAGCAGACCAACCCCACCACCTTTACGACCGTTAGGCCTGGGTGAGTGGGTCCAGGTGAGACCTCCGTAGGAGAGTGCAGCAGGGGAGGTAGAGTCAGTGGGCTGGATCCAGGTTTACGTGATCGCTAGTAGGTTGAGGGTGCGGGAAACAAAGAGGTCGTGGATGGCGGTAAGCTTGTTGCACACCGATCGGGCGTTCAGGAGTGCACATGAAAATGGGGGGGGGGAGATTTTAGGCAGCAGGGGACAGATACTAAGTTGTGGGGGTTGCAGTAGGACGTGGAGGTGGGAGGGTGTTGAGCGGGTGAGGGAGATGGAGGGCCAGGATTCAGGGAGATGTCCCCCGCGGCTAGGAGGAGGAGAAGGGTGAGAAAGGTGGCATGGGAGCGGGATGTGCAGGAGCGTGAGAAACTACTAGTGGAGGTGTTGGGGTCAGTGGGAGAGTGGAGTAATAGGAGGAGGTGGTGGGTGCCATAGAGGGGCGAGGGAAGCAGTGAGGACACAATATACAATTGTTTGGGAGGGGCAGAAGGATATAGTGAATGGATTTTGGGAACAGAGGAGAGGAAAATGAGAAGGAGGAGTGGAAGAGGCATTTTGGGGAGGTGAAGAGAGCAATAGTAGGGAGATGATAGCAGTGAGGGGGAGATGTACAGTTGTGGGGTGGAGCAGAGGGGTAAAGAAATGAGATTTGGGAACAGAGGATAGTAATATGATAAGGAGAAGAGGGGCGTATTATATAAAGGTACACAGAGTGGGTCTCT